AGGAGGCCGGACCAAAACCGCGGCGCAGCCCTGACGCGACGCAGACGGACCCTGTGGAATCTAGGGGTTATTGAAAATGCTCTATTCTCCGCTAGAGAGCTTCACCTCAGCCATTTTGAATGTGGCGCTCTCAGCAGCAGATTGATGCGCTGCAGAGGTTACGATTATGCGTGGTCCCGCGGGGGAGAGGTCTGAGGAATTAACCATTAAACTAAACTAGAGAATGCAATTCCTGAAGAAATTGCTAGTGGGAATGCTTTATGCTGAAAAGCTGACGCTAAACTGCTATGCTGAAATGTAATGTGTAAGAAGAAAGTGAAGAATTTAGATTGAAATGATACATGAACACTGGGGGCTTGAATGTGTAATGAGTAGGGATGCTCCGATCGCCAATTTTGGGGCCGATCGCCGGAATCAGTATCGGCCGATGCCGATCCGATCGAGTGGGCGGGGCCTAAATGGAAGATTTAAACATCACTTTAAATCTTCCATTTAAAGTGATGTTTCCAGTGACCGGTTCCAACATTTCGATTCCAACGGCATCAATTAGAAATGTGAATTTCGGTTCCGCTTTTCGATACCCGAGGAAATGTTTCTCGCTGCTCTCCGTAGCCTACTGTATGACTGCGGCGGGGTGGGACATTTAGCGTTGTACCTACACTTCCTACAGCGTAACCTGGGACCAGGGCCGGCCCGTCGCACTGGCGTTATAGATGTTCGCCTAGGGCGCCAGATCTGTGGAGGCGCTGCGCTGACAGCTCTGGGAGAAGAAAAAAAAAAGTTTTGACCGTTGGTGCTCATCCTAATTTTCGGCCTTGATGTAACAACATTCATAATTAAGTAAATGTAACACCCTTTTCATCCCGGTTACACTTTTCATTCGCCCTGTACGATGGGCGCTGTAAGTGATGAAAATTGGGGATGTTGGCTTATCTGGCGCCCGCAGCTCACAGCCAAAGTGCGAGTGAGCGTGGGAGCGAGCGAGGGAGAAAGGGGGAGGGTGCACCGGTACCGGCGCTGTTGTTATTAGCATCTGGTGCTAGCTGCTCTAACGGATATTAGAAGAAGATGTTTCTACAATAATGTGGAGGGAGAGTCCTCTCCAGTCAGACTGAGAGGCTGATAACTACAGCTCAGTGAGGTAAAGGACTCTTGAGTGTTTAGATAGTTAACTTTAGTCTAAGTTATCTCAGTGGGTCTCAAACGTTTTGATCACAATTTATGTAAACACATATTTCCAAGGCACTCCTTTATAATGATTGGGATAAAACAGGTTTGAAATCATTCCAATGTATACTATAGGACAGTAAACCAGACATATCGTTTTAAACTGGAGAGATACAAAAATATGCATAAATAAATTCGTCAAATAAGATATGAATGAACAACAAAAATAAAATGAGTGAGGCTGAAGTGAGGCTCCACTACACTAAAAAAGAAAAAGACAAGGCACAGTGCAATGCCTGTTATTAGCTTGCCAAAGGCATAGCTCAGTTAAAATAAAGCACAGCTATTGTGCAATACATTTGTATTGCATGTATATTTTTTTATTTGTAAAAATGTCAGTTAAAGCTTAAAAGAATAAAGATATTTTTGTTCTATAAACGTTTGACCTCTTTCTTTTACAATTTTGGAATCGAAACGGGGAATCGATAAGAACCGGAATCGATAAGCAGAACCCGAATCGGAATCGATACATTTCAAACGATGTCCCTATTTATAACTAGTTTAGCTTGTTCCAGAGGTAGATAAAATAGCTAAGTGTGTTAGGTCTAACTCTTGTGTGTTTCGCTCCGCTTACCGGTCCGGCGGGCGGAGCTGCAGGATTTCTGCTTCACACACGTTGCATACCGCTATTTTACTGTCTTTTTCGGACAGTTTAAAATAATGCCAGACCGGTGAAGCCATTTTGGCGAGCTTGTTTTGCCGCACACAGCGAAAAGTGTCATGTATTTTACGTCATGCGATCGGCTCTGACGATCGGCATGTTTAGAGAGCACCGATCGATTGGTAGAGTGAGTATAGGCCGATCTCGATCGGTGACCGATCGATCGGAGCATCCCTAGTGATGAGAGAAGAAAATAAAGTGAAAAGGCTTGGAGGAGCAGCAGAATATTTGAACTGCAAACTTCTGAACTAACTTGATGGCGAATGATCTGTCGCCATGGCAACGACATTTGATGACACACCATAATACGCTTAGATGCGTTGATGGCTGCATCGTTACCAAACCTGTGAAGTTCTGGGCTGTTAGTATTTTCACTGAAGTTATGAGAAAACCGTGTTTCATGGCGAGCATTGTGTTGCTATGGCAACGGCATTTGAAGAAATCTCAACTGTCCCGTAGATTTCTTCACGGCTGGACTGTTAGCACACATGTGAAGTTTGAGCACTTTTTGAACATTTTCATAGGAGTTAGACATTACATTAGGAGGTTACATTACTCTCTCTCTTCTCTTGATCGCCCTCTCTCTCTTCTCTCTCTCTCTCTTCGGCATATGATGACACCCCATAATTGACGTAGAGCTGTTGAGGGTAGGACCATTAACTAGGGATGCACGATAATTATCGGCCCGATAATTATCGGTCCGATATTAGGAATGATGACGTCATCCCGATAAACCCGATACCAATATTAATAGCCCCGATAATATACAATTATATTTTTTGGGTAAAAAAAAAAGAAAAAAATACTGCGGTGTGGGTGGATTGGGATGAGGGGCGCTTGTTTTTCACTCGGCTCCTCCCGTTTTGCCAGTACTGTGGTAGTAGTGGTTTAGGAAGAGGGGAGTTTTTCACAAATCCAGCGCTCCCTAACTCATGCCTGGCTGTGACGTAAATGGTGTGCGGCCGTGAAGCCAGAACAGTAAACAAACATGTCGTCGGTGGTATGGGCGTTGGAGCTATGTGCAACTCAAGGCATATGCTCGAACCGGAGCTGCCTGGACGCTGCAATCATGTTGCGCACTATCCGTGCTGAGTGTGCTGACTTTTCGTACAATGTCCCACTGTCTGGCTTCCTCCATAAAGTCAAGTGCTCGGCGCAGTTGTGGCGAAATGTCGCTCCTCTGTTTTCATTTAAACAGCTCCTTATATCTGTTAGCGCAGCTAGCTAGCACCAGATGCTAACAACAACAATGCACGTAAGTAGGGAGGTCCCGATCACCTTTTTTTGCTCCCGATCCGATTCCGATCATTTGATTTTGACAATCTGCCGATACCGATTTTTCCCGATCCGATCTTTATGCAATGCATTAAGAGAAAAAAAAAGGAAAAAAGCATTCAAGTTGTCCCTTAAGGTTATTTTTTAATTTAAATGACAGTACCCAACTATCCATTCTATCCAACATGGATATAGCTTCTTTTTTTCACAGCAGCATTGGATCAGTTCAGTTGTGCAGCATTGGATCAAAACAAAATAAAGCTTATCAGTGGTCCACCACAAAATAACCATGTAAACTAATTGAGTGCAGATAGTGCAGTAACAAAACAAAAATAACTCTACTGGAAAGAGGTAGTTTGACTAACTTCACAAGTTCACATTCAGTCACAAATAATAAAATAAAATAAAAATGTGGCTTAGTGCAGAATTCTAGCCTTAAGACTAACTAGTCTAGTAATAATGCAATGAACAACAGCAGCTTAACATAACATGAATAAACAAAGTATTATATTTCCATCTTACTGGAGTAACACAATTCAATAGTAATCAGCAGCAAACCACTTATTTGTGTTATTCTACAGTATTGTTGTTTTATAGTTATTTGTTAATGTAACCCAATTTGAGTTCTTTGAAATTGAAAAGGATATCGCATTGTGTCTGTTACTTTCGTTGCAGTTGTATATGTCTTAAGTGTAATTTGTCTTGGCTTCCTATTTGTGGACATGCTTTTATTTTGAAGAGAGGTAGCGCTGTTGACAGGAAGTTGTTGTTGCTTTGGAAACAACGTGACGGAGATTAACGGAGAAAAGTAATATCTACATATAAAGACGGAGAAAGTAAACGTTTATGGTTAAGTGTTAGCACCCCCCCGAAGAGGCACAAGCTCTTACGTTGATATTGGAGATTTCAATAAATTCAATTTGGAAAAAAAACGGGGAAAAAAACAAACAATCGTATTAGATTGGTCGTGTTGAACGTAGCTCTGTTCTTTCCACCACGTGGAACCTCCTTCTTGCAAACATTGCATCTGGCTGTTACACTGCCTTCGCTTTCAATTTTATAATACTTCCAAACTCCTGACATTTACTCTGTCCCGACTCCCGAGTCACCAGCTAAACATAGCCTCTCGTTAGCTTACTGCTACTATTAGACACTGCGCCCACTCTGTTGCCAGATTTGAGAGAAATAAGCAACCAGGTCTGAAAACAAGCCCAAAAGAAGCAACACATACATGATGTTGTGTCATTTGAAACCTAAACTAAGGCCTCAGGATGACTTTAAGACGTGAACATGGTCATTTTTGTTTTGTAACATTAAATAAAATAATTGTTTTAAGGATTCCCGATCCCCGATCTTTTTCTCCCGATTCCGATCTTTTAAAAATCACGTGATCGGCTCCGATCCCCGATCACGTGATCGGATCGGGACATCTCTAGTTTTAACGATTAATTTGCATTTTTACTTTCTTACGGTTTGTGAAATGGCTGAACCGAAAAATCGCGATTTAAAAACATTTCTAGACTCCGCAGATTTGTTTTGCTTTAAGGGACTCCGTAGTAGCTTACTCTCTCACTTTCCAGAACGCGCACATAAATGATTTGCTGTGGCCAATTGTTTTCATTGCAATTTACAGACCCGTGTAACTCTCTGATACCACCCAATGAATGCATTGACTTTCTTGTAGAACCACGCTACACAAAACAGATAGCAACACCTATAAAAACTATTTTAAAAAAGGGGCTACTGTATCGACCTATATAAACTATATCAATATATATATTTTTTCAAAATACCAAAAAGATCCTGCATTTCATTTCGCTCCATTTGCTCTTTCCAGCGCTGTTTTTGCAGGGTGCTGATTCTGTGAGCTGCAGCTGACCACGCCCCCCTGCAGGAGAGGCATCTGACATCTGACATCTGTAAGTTTAACTGGTTTATAAAGCATTCAATGAAAGGCCAAATTATTATAGGTGTAGGAGCTTACATTAATACACTGTCAGTGTTAATAAACTAAAAAAAGACGAGGCGATGTGCCTGCGAGCCTTCGCTCAGGTCACATTTAGACACGGCGCGGCTGAAGCCCGCTAGCACTATTAGCACTATTAGCACTATCAGTATCACTAGCAGCCACATTGTTAAACTTTAGGCTGTCAAATACGCTGCACCGTTTTAGATTCAATGAGTGTCTCGTTTGCAAATGCTTCATGACGTTGCTTGTGTTACCCCCTTTACAAGCAACTAATTGAGTACATAGATTGCACCTTGCACTATCGCCACTACATTGTTTAAAGTGCACCCAGACCTTCGATCACCTCGCTCTGTCTGCCATGCCTGCGGGAGTCTCACAACAATAATAAGAGCGCTGTTGAGAGAGATGACGAGTGGCATTTACAGTGGCCAATCAGAGGGGTCTCAAACCGGATACATCACACGGGATGAGGGTTCCCAACCAACCAGAATGGTTTAAAGTAGGGATGCACGATATTTGTTTTTTGAAACCGATACCGATAACTTCCTGCTTCTCAAGACCGATACCGATAACCGATAATAATATAATATATATATATTAAATGTACCTGTAGTTTTTGCACACCTGGTGATAAAAAAAAGACTAGTAGTGAGCAAATGACATGAGCATTACTACTATGAACAAAACAAAGCCAAGGACAGTTTTGACTCTTCAAAGTGACCATATTTATTTTCCCAAATAAAGTGCCTTTTTCAAAAGCCTCGTCGATAGGTAAAAGCCCCGGTGCCTTTGCAGCTGGCATTGGATTCGCCGCTAGTTTAGCAACGCAGGCGTCTTCGTACGCTTTTAACACACCATCGTAGCGACTACCGACGACATGTTTGTTTACTGTCCTCGCTTCACGGCCGCACACCATTTACGTCACAGCCAGGCATGAGTTAGGGAGCGCTGGATTTGTGAAGAACTCCCCTCTTCCTAAACCACTAATACCACAGTACTGGCAAAACGGGAGGAGCCGAGTGAAAAACAAGCGCCCCTCATCCCAATCCACCCACACCGCAGTATTTTTTTCTTTTTTTTTACCCAAAATATATATTATATATTATTGGGGCTATTAATACTTTTATCGGGTTTATCGGGATGACGTCATAATTCCTAATATCGCACCACTAGTTTAAAGTTAAACTAAGGAAGTAGACGTAACAGTACACATATACCGATAGCAGCACCGTTTGTCCAGTGGTTTAACGGTATACCGATACCGTCCAATCATGTACTGGTATTGACTTAGTACCGGTTCTCGATACCCATCCCTAGTCATCACAAAGAAAATGTAATTGTAATCTAGATAGAATAGAAATAGAATGGGAGGGATGAAACCCTCTAATGGTCACACATGCAGAGCACACAGCACCTCTGCATTTAACCCATCCTAGTAGTAGATGGGTGGATACCTGGATAGATTAAATAGTACATTGACATATGCTCTTTCAGGGTTTGAGCGTTCTGCGCCCTCTTACTTTATAGGAAAATCATGTGACGTCGTATCACATGACTTGAATTTTGAATGGAGCCGTCCCTTTATAGATACTATTGCTTTATGTATTAGTGATGGGAATTCCGACTCTTTTTAGTGATTCGGATCATTTGGCTCGGCTCCAAAACGGCTCTTCATGTTACCACAGTTTACCACGGAGCCTCAGTTTCGCCGCTGCGAGGCTCCGGTGCTCGCAGTTCACACGCGTGCTCCACTAGCACCCCCCGTCAAGGCTCGCCGGCAGTACACTTTCAGTACACTTTTTTTACACAGCAACACGCTTTGATGGCGGCGAAAAGAATCCCACCAGACTCCTTTGCCCCTCCAACAGAGGGATGTCCTTGTCCTTTTTCCTTTTCGTAATTTCAAGCTATAAAACTCTTGATCTTCTCTCAAATTATTTTTTTTTTGGACGCCCTCGGTTCGAGTTCAGGGCGTTCCGAGCTGAATAAGGGCGTCAAATGATGGCAAGACACCCCCCTGGCGGAAACGCTGCCGGTGAGTCTGCCGGTGGATGAGTGGCAGGCAGCAGGTTTACACTGAAACTGTGATTTCTGGATTATATCGTTTCTTTTAATTTCCTTTTTCTGAAGAAGTAAAGAAACTGTATCTCGTGATTTATTTGTTTTTTGAGGTGCAATATTTGACAGCTTTAAGACATGAAGAAACTATGATTTTATTATTTTTGCTGGAAAGTGGGCGGGGTCGTAATTCTGTCTGGAAGTGACGTTAGCACCCTCATACTATATTGTTCTAGAAAAACCCCTGCTCTTTGTTTGTTTGCCGAATTACAAGAGAAGCTTGGACATATTCAGGAAGATGGTGAATCCAGCTGCGCCGCCGCTATTTGTATATAGGGGAAACACTGTGCAGTCCAGCAGGTCCTCAGATTGTCTCTAAATCAACTAGTCAATAGTCTCAGGGTAGAGAGACCCAGTGGGAAACAGCTGTAGGTCTTCATAATCCATGACATAGGATTTTCTAGCCAAACAACGTGTTAAAAGTAAAAAAACAAACATCCTTTTTCCCACGTTTATAGCACATTCTACATCGCTTTCATTCACACTGTATGGATCAGTACTCAAAGTAGGTCATGGATTGCTTTCCGCTAGCTTTCCAAATCATTAGAGCAATAGTATTTTAATGAGCTTGTCTCTTAGTAGGACAAAATACATTCATTTAGTAATTTTCAATGTTATTCTTTTCATGAATAGAAGTAGGGATTTCACAATATTAGGAATTCAGTAGTAGTTACCAAAACCAGTGATTACACGATTCTTGATACAAATTCCATACCATGATTAAAAAACAAAACGATAGCCAAACCTACATTTTACGAGACAACATTTACTGAATAAAGCCTGAATGCACCATACTGCAAATCAATAGCACATCTGACACAGGCTGCTAACAGCTAACATCAATAGCTCTACTCCTGCTGATCCAGTACGGATATTTCTTGTTTACAATGGAGCATTATAAGGGGAAATATAGTGGGTCACTGTGAGTTTAATGATACAATAAAAACAGAGAGTCCAGTGTGTGTGTGTACAGTGTGTACAGTGTGTCCTGTGTGCCAAGTGAGTGTTTTGTGGGCCAAAGAGAGAGAGGTGGACGTTCCGACAGCTAACAGCTGTTAGGGAGTGATGGAGCAGAGGAGTAAACCTGCGCTCCATGGCCCCTGTCCAGAACCCTGTGCTTTATAACCGGAAACAAAATGTCCTATTCACTTCCATGTGAAGTTGTTAGTCTCCAGCCCAACAGTACCTTCAGTATTTGTGATACCTGTAGCACTGTATAAAACCGAATATCATCAAGTTTTGTGAAATGTTCCATCAACTTGGTATTGAAGTATTCCTTCTTGTGACATCCCTAACCTGAAGTGACACCAAAGTGTGGAGCAAAGAACAACACAACAGTAGCAAAAAGTCCCCCCAGTCTTTCAGGAAATGTTATTAACTAAAATAGTATTAGAACATTTATGGAAAGTCACATATTTGCCGCTCAAACAGGTGGAACTACATGACAGGAGGTGTCATTACAAACCCCTATTATAAGTGCTTCTCATAAAATGATTATAGAACTCGAAACAAAAGTCAACTCGGATAAAATCTAGATTATTTTTAAATAAACCTTATTGAATGATTGTCGACAGGGTTAACAAAATGTATCTTAAGTAGAGAAACAACAGTTTTGATGCACATTTTATAACGTATATGGGAGTCAATCATGGTCCTATAATGTAGGAAGCCAAAAAATAGTTGGATATTGTGCATCCCTATTAATTTTTTAAACTAATGTGAACACCTATAAAGTCCTGCTTGCAAAGGTATTTGGCAACATCAGATTTTCATAGATGTATTAATGCGGCCGCTGCATGACCTGTTGCCTCATTAGTACGGAGCCCCCTAGGGGACATGGAGGGAAAAAAAATGTATTTGCGAAATCTTGCAAAACCCCTTTGCGAGGTCTCGTAAAACTTTTCATTTAGCTCAATGTACTTCCTGGTCAGTTCGGCAACACAGAAACCACAACAATGGAGCAGTTCATCAATTTTACTTTGAGCTTTGCCTTAAATATAAAGATATAACATCAGTGCTTGGCAATAGGCATGGACACCTCAAGAGAACACTCAGAGCGAGGGGACATGCACGTCGCAAAGCATACTCTGAGCTGAGTTATTGACAGATTTGAATTTCGCGGATCAATAACTCATGAACATAATGTTGTAAAAATGCAAACAACATGACTTTACAATCATAGTAAGATCAACAACGAGCTACAGAGTCGTTTTTATCAGAACAGTTCAATACGCGCCGTTATCCAAGCTAAACATCAATAATTGGTCACAATCTGCAGCTGGAGGAGAAAGAGGAGTGCTTGGGGACCGTCTACAAACTGCAACGCCGAAAACATATACTCATAGGAAAATTCAATAACTTCATTTTTTTAAGATGTAGTGCTACCAAAATCTCTTAACACATCAATGGTTATGTTGTTGTTACATTGTATAACACTTATTTTGAATAAATATGTTTTAAAATAATTTTAGTAGTTTTAGTAGTGTAACCGTAGGAACACATGACCTTGCATCAGTACATGGTTTATTAAAAAACACAAAAATAAGTGTATTATCTATTTTCCTTACTCAAGTGATTTCCTATATATAAGACTCAATATACTTAGTCACGTGTAGGTCCAAAAATGTCTTATTATAAGGCAAGGCAAGTTTATTTATATAGCACCTTAAAACACAAGGCAATTCAAAGTGCTTTACAAAAAATGAAAGACATTAAGAAAATGGCATTTAAAATCAGTCATTAAAAAGATAAGATAATAAAATAAACATTAAAAGAAAAAAATACATGGATAAAAGTTACAAAGTAACATAAAGAAGTTATAAAGAAGTCCCG